TACACTCTACTAATCAAAGAGCTAAAGAATCCAAGGATTTTAACATCTTTTTTATATTTTTAGTTATAGTTACTTTTGCATATCAGCTCATGTAATTTGAAGATCGCTACATTAATTCCAAGATTTTAAAGAGATTCACGAAAGTTCTAATCCGATTTTCAAATATCATATCTTACCTATCGATTACGATAGCGACGAATATCGTCATTACGACTTCAGTGAACCCGATAATGATGGTCGCTAAGAAGGGGTCGATCGTACTGTTCGCTGCTTGAAAGATATTGACTGTATAGAATAGAACCGCATCTATGCCGCACAGTTGCTGGAAGAACATGAGTCCCACACAGGTGATAGCAGCCCTACGTCCGGCTTTGGTTCCAACGAGATCCTTGAGGCCGCCCGACAAGTTCTCCATCCTATTAACATCGTGTTGAAGAACAGCTATCTCTTCTGTGACGTCGTAATGCGGTCCCCGCAAGATCGTCAGCACCTTGATGGCTTGGATTTTACGATTCTTCTGTACCAACCACATTGGGGATTCCGGCAAAAAAGGCACGCCCAAGACGAAGGGCATCAAAATGGCGCAACAGGCAAAATTAAAGATTACATAGGAACAGTATGCGCCCGCCACGTATGAAAACATGATTCCCAAGGAAAAGAACAAGGGAAATAAAGCACCTAAAGCACCACGAATCGATGGTTGGGCGATTTCGCTGGTGTAGACTGGTACGAGGACACAGGTCGCCCCGGCACCGATCCCACCGATGAACCGGGCAACATATATACTGTTGATGTTCCTAATCGTTAACAGGGTAAGCCAGCCTATAGTAAACGGCACAGCTGTTAAAAAGATGGCCCATTTCCGACCGATTCGATCAGCGATTTTACCAGTCGGCACGGCACCCATGATGGCACCCAGCGCCAACAAGGACGTTATCCATGAGATCTGATCCTCGGATAGTTCCGGAAGGAAGGATTCCGCTGATGTGAGATATGGCAGGATCGGCGACGTCCAACCAAGCGTTATGCCGGCCTGCATGCCACCTAGCGCGGCTGCACATTAACAGCATGCTTTCATCGTTGGAAGAAAGATTTTTTTTTTTTTAATTTAAGAGAATTATTGCTGTCAGTACGCGAGATTTTTGTCAGTTAAAAGAAAGTGAAAATTGTTGATTTAAATTATTCAAGATCAAAATAATACTAAAAAATGTCTTGAAAAAACATCTTATTTCGATTACTCATATTTAAATTAACAAATCTGTATTTTATTCATTAAAACGAAGCGTGGAACATATGCTAAATAATTTAATTAATTGAAAAAAATATATTTTGCACCTCCATAGTACATATCTCTAAAGGATGTTATAAAGATATTTAGAGGACATCCATATTTTTAAACATCTTAAGGATACGTTTGTATATTTCTCGAATAAAGTGAGATATTACATAATGAGATATTACACAGTGGAAGAATAATGCACAGAAATTTCATTGCAACAAATCTCTTGTTTATTCATTTATCAAACTCCATAGGAATAAGATAACCACTTAAAGATCATATACAAGTTTCTCGTAATAAACATTGTAGCTACGGATAAGTTGTTGATTCAATTGTAGGCAAGTCTGTAAGTCGACCACTTTAGATAATATCGATACCGCGAGACAATCTGTCGACTACAGTATACACACACACACACACACACACACACACATACACACACACACACACACACACACACATATTATGCAATATGAGAGAAGTTTGATTTTGTGACTGATTGATCTTATTATTAGTTAAATGATTGAGTTTCTTTGTATATAAGGGGAGGCTAGTATTTATATTCTCCGTATTTTTAATTTTACAATATTTACAAAAAGTGTAACAATAAAATTCCATTCAATTTTAATTTACTTTAATTTAATTTAGTTGTTATCGCGTTCTTTTTACTTATCGGCACGAATACAGTGATATGATATATATGTTTACTTATAATCAGGTTTGGATAAGTTAATGTTCTTTTTAAATTAAGTTAAAGTTAATGACTTATAAAATTAAATTAAAAGTTGAAGGAACAAGAAATTAACTTAATAAAAGTTAAGATTAAGTTAAAAATTAATGCATTTAAAATTAACTAAATTAAGTTATTAACTTTTTAACTTTTTAAGTAGTTACTACCCTGGTTCATATATATGTACACACATAATGTATAAATTTTGAACTGATGAAGATTTCATGAAGTTAAAACGTATCGAATAGAAATATGAAACAAAATATGTATTATAATTATTTTCTAACATCTTTTTTTGCTCAGTTATTCGGTGATTTAAATATTGTATTTTATCGCTATACAATGTAACAAGCCTTATTTTTATTATAATTTCACAACTAAATAACTTTACAAAATTTGACCACTTAAAATTCGTTGTCAGTTTATCAGATTTCTGATAAGAAAATACATATTATCTTGTACACAATGTTAACTCTTATTATAGCATATTGAATCTCTCTTCAATCACACTATAATATTCAAAACATTATAACATCCATGATCCAATGATTAATATTAGACATAAATAATATTAGACATTATATAAAATCATATTTTATATAATAAAAGCTAACGCAAAATGAATTACATTTAGTTTTGAGATTGAACAGACGTTATAATTTTAATCAAATATAACGTGAATCATAAAGCGTTATTATTAATTACATTGAATTCCGCATATATTCCATAATAAAAATTTAATAAATTATATCATTGGTATGATAAAGCAACACCTCTCTTTCTAATTTTTATTCTATTTTTATTCTAAAGTAAATAAGACATATAAATAAAATGATAAATATTTCTCGTCTCTTGCATGTAATATTTATTCTATAAAGATTTCGAATTTTAGTAATTGATTTTGACGCACCATAACATTTGATTTCTCTTTTAATAAAGCACTAATTTGACGGTTAGAAATGAATTTTATTGCGAGTATAATAGAGTATAATCCATATTACTTATAAAAAGACAGAATTACTTTTCCTTTCTTCAACAGCTTTATCATCATTAACTCACAATAGAATATATGTCCATAATTCAAAGTATTTAACTCGAGCTTTATTTTTCGCAGGTTACAGTCCATCTCTTTTAATTTAAGAAATATGAAGGGGATGTCAATTAAGAATGTCATAAACGTAATATTGAATAATAATTAAAATGCGAAGAATACGTTATGTTAACAGAAATGTCAAAGAAATACGTGTCAATATGTATCTTTACAGAAATTTAATTTAATACTAACTAATATTGAAAAATAGTGATTAATTATTTTGAGTATTAAAAATACTTTTGTTCATTGTTTAATAAATAATTGGTCACTATTAAATTTCTGTAAGTATTAAATTGTCAAGTAGATATTAAATTTCTGTAAGGATATTAAAAATATGTATCGATATTGAGTTAAGGAGTAACTATGTAGATTTTCCCATATACAAAACAACATTTGCCTTTTCTTACTCACCGCACAAAGTGACTAAAAATTGAAAGCGCTTTTCTCCCTTGCTGAAAGAATCCGAATTATTCGATTCTTGTGACACGTGAGGCTCTTCTTTATCCGGTAAGATAACCAGAAGAGATTTTGAAATTGCATCATTGATCCGTGCCGTCATACTGGTGTCCATCGTCAGGAGGAAATGAAATTGATTGATGAAGACAAAGAGAAAAGGAACGATCCTCGTCGCGAAGAAATCAGTTTATCACGTTTATCACAAATATAATAATAAACTGTCGCGAAATAAATAAAGACAAAAATTACGTTCTGTACTGCGCCTCACCTGTTCTCCGCTCGTTACACCTATGCGCGTGTATATATCGCTTCATCAATTTATATTATCTCGAACAAACGCTTATCACTTCATCGTTCCCAGAAAAGCGTTCGATACCACCCGCGTATCATTCGTGATTGTTAGGAATACCGCCAACGACATATACAGACATTCTGTCCGTAACTTGAAGCCGGAAATTGACAGTTTATGTGGCCTTTAGGACCCGTCATGTCTTTTTCTATTTTAATGAGAGCAGTGCGATAGAGTGAAATAGCACGGGTCCTAAAACGCCACATAAACTGTCAATTTCCGGCTTCAACCCCCACCACTGAAAAACATGGGAATACTTGGTCTATGTATATATGTCGTTAGATGCCGCAGATACTTTATCTGCCGCGTGTGAAAGATGATATGACTTTAAAATCGATATGGCTTAAGAATAAGAATCTATCAATCTTAATTGAATCTGTAATGCTAAGCTTTTGTTTTTCTTTGCAATCTACGTTTATATATATATATATA